CCATCGCGGTGATCTTCATGTTCAAGCACGGGCGGTCCAAGTTGTAGGCTTCGAAGTAGCCGATGCTGATGGGCTCGGCCGGAGCTGATCCCACGACGATTTCAGTTCCGCAGTTGGAGATGCAGCCATTCTCGCCCTCAGCCGATGTTCCGGGCGCGCCGGTCTCCGACTGAGAAATGGTGCAGAAGTCCTTGTTGATACCACATTGACCGTGTTTGTTCTGGAGGAGGGAAACAGGTTAGCTGCCGTGAAGAGTTGATGGAAATGGAGGTATGATACGTACACAGCAGGCATTCAGGGGACAAGGGTTCAGGCTGGCGAGATCGACACCTGCTCCCGGCTGGGTGGTTCCAGGCTTCTGCGGGCCGCACACAGCGTTGGCAATGGGAGCTGGCATCGGAGGTGCACCGGAACTAAGGCAGATATACTGGTAAGCTTGCACGTTCGAGCACCCCTGCCAGCCCCAAGTCTGGGTGTTGAAGCTCTCAATCTCATCATTAGTCAGACTGTTGGCTGCCCCCAAAGAAGAGCAGCTGTCGCCAGGCACAATGTAGTAGGAGAAACATGCCCCATCAGAGTTGGGCTGCGGGCGGAAGTCGGGCAGATCTCCGGCTGAGCAGCAGACGTGTTGTCCAACTTGCAAAGTCGAGCACAGAGTCGCGTCTGGGTTATAAGTGGTGAAGTCGCTGGCGGAAATGCCACACTCCGCCGCCAAGCTCGCGCCTAGATAACAGGATCAGTTGTCTGTGATTTGGCGGAGAGCCTCCCATGTGAAATACTCACAACTATCCCCGGACACGACCTGAACAGTTGAACATTCTGCCCGTCGTTGAAGCATGTTTGCCCTGCTAGACACCACGGTACCGGCGGTGCTGTTGGCACGGGTACTGTTGCCAGAGCTCGCAGTGCTGTTGTTGGAGATACTTGGGACCGACAGCGTAATGTCCTGCCAGTTTTCCACCTTGTCGAAAGAAGTGATGCACTCGCCAGAAGCCCAGGTCGCCACGGCATCCTGTACGAACTTGAGATCGCGATCTCCGCTCACAGCAATGCCGAGGCTGTATCGGGAGCTGCGGCCGTCCTCGGCACATAGTTGCGCAACGACACTATCAGAGAAACCAGTGGTCTTGATCTTGGTGATGAATTGACGCAGCATGGATGCCGGGATATCGCGGACCCCGGAACCCGCGAAGAGACCGAGAGCGACTGTGTTGGAGTACGCGAAGGTGGTGATGTCGGTGCTGTTCGACTCCCGTCGAGACAAGGAGGCGGCGAGCTGTTCTGACGCAGCTTCAAAGTCCTTCAACTCTGCTGGTGTGTTGGTCACGTTGAAAGCCAGCTGCAGTGGCTCTTGGACCTTGGTAACGCTGCATTTCGGCAAACAAGACGGGCCTTGGGTGATGTTGTTGCTGATGACATTGCTTGCGCCCACTGCGAAGCTGGCGGTGCAAGCGCGAACAGCCTCATCCTTGCGCAAAGAGTTGGAGGGATTGAAATTGAGAAGCATAGTCTCGTTGCACATTGACAATCGTCCGAGTCTGGGATACAGAGTCCAGTTGCCTGAGTTCAAGCCGGACTCGTTGCACCCGGCGGGGCAGCGGCTCAGAACCAAATCAACGAGTTCTGGAGCGAGCGTGTTGTTGCTGATGGCTGCTGGAGCAGCCGAAGTGGTTGCAAGCGCATGTGCTGCTAAGTAAGAGGCGAGCTTCTCAGAGCCATTCTCAATTGCTGTGGCTGGATGGGACAGCACGAGCGTGATGGCCACCACCCCGGCCGTGATAGACCGTGGTACGAATCTCATTGTTGATATGGGTAAGGAACGTGGATGACAGGAAAAGGAATGCAGCGAAAGACTGGAAGGAACGTGGTGCCGAGGACAAGAGCAACAGGAGGGATTGTGTTCGAGCCCTGATAGAATACTTATCAAGACGGTCTTCTCAGACCACATAAAAGGCAGGCTGGCGAATACCTCCGAGGCAGTTCAAGTGCCTCGTCAACTGCCATAATCCTGGTCGGCGAACTGCCGCGCTAGACATGGGTTGACTCTGGGTCCCGTCTCCGCTGCGCCTGAGTCTCGCAGATATGCTTATGTGACTTTGCCTTCTCGTTCGTCCCGTCCCATCAAAAGTAGAATCTTGTTTCCTTACGTCCTCGGGCGTGAATCTGCTTCAGGTGTGGGCTATCCGACGCCAGGTCTAGAAGTCTTGGCTGTCGATCGTCTTGCACGAACGATTTCTTTTGGTCCGTCTAGTCGATAGCAGAAACATCCCGCAAGGGTGAGAAAATCGCGATTGTGCTGGCGACTTAGTCGTCAATTGTGGAGGTGATGCGATGCCAGTCACCACCGCCTGGCCTGGCCCTACGAAGAGATGGAGCAGTTCGCTACCCCTGCTAATCGGTGCCTAGAATTCATCGGGGACGGGCCGACCCCTGTTCTGCACGTTTGCGGCTACGCTCCGGGCAATTCTCTGCCTAAAGCAACTTCATTTCCCAGGGACGCAGGGAGAACGCCATGGATCTGAATCCTGGCCGAATAATGGTGCGATTCGTACACCCCGTTCTGGAATCGCTCTGCTCTGAGTGAAATGCCATTGGTTGGCACGCACTTGAGTTACAATATCGACGCGTACACCCTTGCTGGCATCTGAACCAACTGACCTCTCGTGCCAATATTTCACGCACATCGTGAGGCCATGAAGTCAGACAAGTCAGATTTTAGCCCTTGAACTGGATATCGGACTGTGATCGGATATCCCGAGGAACTAACTGATGATAGCGTCCGCTAATAGTCTGCGTGCCAAGTCCCCGCGCTGCAGAACCTAGCCCGCTGACTTTTATTGCTGAGGTTTCCACCTTGGTTGGTACTGCACAATGACCGAGGCTTGCAGCCTGACTGCTCCCTCTTGTGTCAGCCGACTACCTTATTACTTGGGTCGGGATATCTCGCTGGTGTAGTTTCGCCTCTTTCCCACTCTTTCCCATTTGCCATGGCAGTCGGTCCTTCGACATTCATTACAAGCTAACCGTAGTCATTCATTTCCCACCAAGCGCTCGAGAATGAGGTTCTGGGCTGTTGTCGCTCTTGCAGCGGCCGTTTCGGCTGTCCCATTCGAAGGTGTTTCTTTGCACAAACGCGCCGGGGCAAGAAGCCATATTGGCTATCGAATTGTCTCGAAGGTACCCGGATTTATCCACTCCTTATCTGTCAATCTTCGAAATGGGTTTCGACCTTCAAATGCTGACATATTGAACACAGGCTGAAGCTGACGCCATCAACGCCAATGATGGAAAAGCGGTGCAGTCGCTCGGAACCTCGGGTAGACAGCTAGGAACCGGTACCTACATATCCCCTGCGTTCCAGGACTTCCCAGAGTACGATCCATCCAAGGGAATACCGTGGGACTGTGTCGTTACCATGGACGCCGATACCTGGAGCGGACTGAAGAAGGCTTGGATTCCGAAATTCTATGAGTTCCCGGAAGATAAGGAGAAGAATCCGGACAAGTGCAAACCGCTCAACCTGTGGACCCCAAGATGGAGTGAGTATCTGATAACGCCGTTTGCCGTACGTTCCGTTGCTAACACACTGCCTAAAGAGGCCAACCGAAAACGCTTCTTGACCAGCTTGGACTCCTCTTTCACGGAGGAAAATACGGTTCTCTTCTCTAAGGTATTGGGACACGAAGAGAAGATTCAAGCCCTCATTCCACCGGCGATTGTTGATACTGGAGTGGTCTACATGTCTCAGTGTGCTGAACGAGAGACAGAATCCAACAAGCAGATTGGCAGTCTTGGTAATGTTGATTGGGACACTGACAAGATGGAGGGCTGGAATTTGGGCTCTGATGCTGTGTAGATGGCAAGACTGATAGTGGGCGCGCATTGTCCAATTCTGGTGGGCGTCTTTTGTATCAAACCGCCCTGCACCTGTTTCGGCGGATTCCGTTGTTCAGCGATCGCGCTGGTGATGACTCTCCATCTCTTTGCGCGGCAGAGGTACCTACTATTACTTCACATATCAAAGTGAGTAGCAGCGGGTAATAAGGCAGATTTCAGATCTCACATTTGAGTTGTGACACTGTATTGGTTAAACCTCAACAGTGACTTTCCACAACCTGATGTGATTCAGATATCGTGTCATGACATAGTGATATTGGCCATGAGGCTTGGAAAGGCGAAGATATTTGGCGGGTATTGGGCAGACGCCTCGATCGCGGGGCCTTGATAATTGGGCGAATCAATACCGGATTCACTTAAACCAAACATACGGTCTGAGTAAGCTGGGCGTGGGCATTCAGTGATCTCACCAGACAGCGTGGCAGGAACAGGCTATCTATCTACTCTTTGCATCTAATGGGCTGTGAATCCGTTCCCTCCAACCTGACAGTCTGAACTAAAGAGAGATTCGGAGGCTGGATATTGCTTGGTTCATCATCTGGCAGTGGGCGAGGACAGCATTATGTCAAGCTAGTTCATTCCAGCTTGCCACAGACATACTTCGCTCTTTGTTTGTTTCACTCAGAAGTTGCCAATCAACTCTTTCAGAGTGCTTTGTGTTCTTGTGGGGTCCTTCGCGTAAGGTACGTCTGTTATTTCTCATTCACTTTTACTCTGTTCCACCAAACTTCGGTTAGGAAGGAAAGGCTGAACTGGTGGAAAGAGAGCGTGACTTCCCTGAAGTGGAAAAGAAGCCCTCCCAAATTTCCAGGAAAGCGCGTCCAGTTTGCGCAACCTGTGCCTTCCCTTAAAACCGAACGTCGCGGGTGTCTTCCGCTCGCGCCCACAACGCTCGGTCTCAAATTCATCTTTTTCAATTTTTCCCATCCACATCCACTTTATGGCGTCCTGCCCCGACACTGCTCTCGCCAATTTCTCTGCGGGGCATTTCCTTCAATAGCCTCCTCCCTTGCCTTCTCTTCTGATTGCTACAACTCTCGAATCATTTCCAGTCTCCCCAATTTTGCTCGCAACTGTCAGTCTGGGCTGCGTCCTCGCAGGCAATGCCGCCTCCCAAGCGTCAACGAGTCAAGGAGGAGTCTGACTCTTCAGACTACGAAGAATCGGAATACGGCGTTGAGAGCGACGAAGAAGATCATCACGACAGTGTTGCGGCGGGTACTCACACGCTCGGCTTGAGCCAGGATTACGTCCCGTCCTGGACTGAAGCTGATGCATTTCGGGAATGGTACCAGAATTGGTGAGTCCGGGTCCTGGCAGTCAAGTGTTTCCCGTTGTACTTTTGCTGAATCGACTGCAGGAAGGATTCCATCATTCAGACATTCAATGTCAATCCCAGGCCATTCATTTTAGAGCAAAAGACGACAGACTCCGACATCCAGATTACCATCCACCGCACAGTCCAGAAAGGTGCAGATCAGCCTGAAAGGCTGAAAGGGAGCTTCTTGGCTACATCAGGTTCATCAAACAAACCGGCACTTTGGAGCTCGCCAACTTCAGCGCTGCGCTGGACCCGCGCCACCTCAGCCTCGGAGGGACCACCAAGCGAGATGATTCCAAGTCTGCCGGCACCCATGGGGAGGGTTTCGAAGTTGCCGCTCTAGTGATGACACGAAACAACCGCATGGTTCATATCGAATCGTCCTCTGCCTATTGGAAATTTGGGTTTCTAGGCACCAGCAAAGACAAGTTCTCCTGCCAGATTACCAAGCCGGCGACGTCAACAATCAAGGAGCGCCGCGATGCTCTCTTGTCCGAAACTCGCAACGGGCGAGCTAGAACAACCCTTACCTCCTATATTCACCGGGACGTCATCGTCAGAATTTCCACGCCAAACTGTCACAAAGCCATCACAGCAAAGGACTTCTGGGATTGGAGTTCAGTCGCGATAGATCTTCATTGTCCATCTCCAGAGAAGATCATCCGCACGGAGCATGGCGATTAACTAATAGGTCCCACATTCGCAGGTCGCATCTACCTCAAAGGCCTTCGAGTATCCTCCCATGAATCGGATTTCGCCACTTATTCTTATGGTTACGACTTTGCCAGTGGACGCATCAATCGTGATCGAAAGCGTAAGATGAATCAAAAAGAGGAAGCGAGAATTGTCGCCAGCATCTGGGAATTGGCTGTGGCCGAGCGACCGGACTTGACCAAAGAGTACATCAGGTTGTTCAGCGTCATTTTCAGCCTAGATGTTGCGTTTGCGGATACGGTGATGTCGAAGAAGATGGCTGAGCATGTGTGGCAATATCTTCTCAAGGACGCACCGGACTGCTTCTTTTACGCCAATGACCCAGATTCGCAGTCGAATGTAGCGCACCAGGTCAATCATTCTTTCTTCCTACCTTGCATTTCTAAACAGCCAATGAGCGCGAATAGGTTTATCTAATCAACGAAGACCTGAATAAACAGGCAAGAATTCTCCCGAGAGAGCTTTGGAAAACTTTGAGAAAATTCAAACTTCCACGCACCCCGAAGGAGCACATCGATCACAAGTTCCTGTCATCTGAGGCGATCACCCTACCGGCAGACCTATTTGCCATCTCCATCGATCGAATGCTCCAGGCAGCCATGCAGCTGGATTATCGACTCAAAAAGTATCTTGTCACGTACGTCAAAAGCGATCACAGTAGCATTGACGTCCGACAAAATTTGTCCGACTCGCGCCTCTTCATTCACGAAAAGTGGCTGCGCTTCGATGCAGCACACCAGGACATTTCTTGTGACATTTCCGATATGAGCAAAGCCAAACGCAAGCAGGCAGACGTGTTCGCTTGTGACCACGTTGTGGAGGACCTTTTTGATATTGTTCTCAGGACGGTCATGGGCGCAACGGATTCTGATGCACTGAGAATCGCCAATATTCGATCAAAGGCCAGGCGCCTGTTCCGCCAGACACCAAGAGACATACAGATTCACGTTGGCTCGTTGCCTGGTCAGCTAAGGGTTTCCTGGGCATGCAACGATCCGGGTATCATTTCGAAGCATCATGGAGACGACATTGACTTCCAAGTTCGCCTCCATCGAGATGATTCATGCCGAACTAAGGAGCATACTCTCGTGCTCACCTGGAGTAAGTCCCGTCCATGGGTATGTCTGATTAGATATTGACCATGACCAAAGATACTCGAAAAGCATTCCGAAATCGAAAAGCACCCCGAGATTCATGCTCTTGTCCTATGCTAAAGGCTCCACTGTCTGCATGCTCCGCTACCTTCGACGGCCTCGATCCCCAGCAAAAGTATTTTCCAATGGTTGCTCGCGACAAGAGAGGGGCCTTCTTTGGACTTGCGCCGCCTTCTATAGCTCCTATGAGGGGGCCGGACCACGATGGCGGGACCGAAGAATTGCAGGAGGACGATGGCGGCGCCAATCCAAAGCCTGCTGCATCAACGCCCAGTTCTAAAGAGTGGATCAAAGATCAAGAGACGTGGCGCGAGTGGCATGCAGAAGATCTTCCGACTAAGATATCTGGCATGTTTTCAACGCGCAATGCATGTAAATGCGATGTGAGTGGTCTGGTTGCGGGCGATCCTAGCTGGAAGCTAATAACAAATGCAGGTCGCGGACACCCCTGGCGAAACCAGTTTCGAGAGTCGACGACTCAATTTCACCTTTGAAAAAGACCAATACGTCAAGATAAAAGACATCTCAAGGAGCTTTGGGACATACATTGCTCTGGTACATGATGTTTCGCCTGGTAAAGCCAACTGCTTAAACACGCCGCACCTGCTCATCACGAAGTACTCCTCTTTCGATCACACGAAGTTATTGTGGGACTCGAAAACCTCACTGAATGATTGCGAGAAGAACGGGCACAAAGAACTGCTTCTTCACTGCACTGATACCAAGAACATGGGTACTTTGCCTGACAGTGAGGTTGTTCAGATTGACGATATTGAATGGTTGGAACCAACGGGACCCAATTTCTATATCACACACTGTGTTCAACGTCCCGGTTAGACCCCCTTCCCCATGTTATCTGTGACCACTTTCTTACAGATATGTTAGATGATCTTGATGCTGACGAGTTCTTCTGCCGATTCGCTCGATCTGTGTATGATGACTTTCTCACCATGCTCCCAATCTCACCACATCTCTTAGCACCACGTCATCGACGCAAGATGCGCGGATTTCCAGATGCCTCCCCTGGTTGGGTCACGGACCTTACTCCTGATGTTCTTGGTCCGATGGAAGGATTCTCATCCGCCGGGTTCCTTCCTTTTGCCGCTTTTGGGTTCGACGAAAAGCGACATGCAACATGGAAGGTATGGTTCAAATCACACGCCTCGTTTACCCAGCAAGCGGTTTACTGACAGCTTCAGGTTCGCCATCCAACATGCCCTGTATTTGACGGATGCTTCCCACACATTGTCGAAGACATCGACAAAGGCAGGGTGCCTGGCCTTTTGTGGCCGTCGAGTAACGCGCCCATGACATTGCTAGCATCCGTCAAGAACGTCAACTTTGCATTGAGCGAGGAAAACAAGGTGATGCCCTCGGTGGAAAGCTTTCTTGGCCAGTTGTCTATGGCGGAGCATGCCTTCGAGTCCGGGCATCCTGACTTCACCGTCATACAATTGCCCCCTGCAACACTCCATCCGCTGACTGTCGATCGATTGTGCAAGAGCGTTGTCTATTTCCTCGAGAAGTACAATGCAATCCGAGTCGACGCATCGTCGGTTCAGAACCATAACGTTCTCCAAACCCGACGGCTTCTGACGATGATTGTGTCTCCACATCATGGAATAGCAGCTGTTCCAATGACCCAAGCACATCAGCAAAGCAGCTTCGCTGGACAGGAAGCTCACGCAATCACGCGAGATATCGCCGAGCTATCCTTTTGCAACTCTCGAGCAACAGGAACTGGAATTCTATGCTCGCTCCCTTCCGGTATTTCTCAAGATAGAGGCGCTCCGAAGCTCCCATGTTATAACCACGCCACCGGTTTCACACTTACTGAAGGAGAGACACAAGTAGTCGATTTGGGGCTCAAAAATATCGACTTCGTCACGTACAGCAACCGCGGCCTTGTTCATCCAGGTAAACAGCTCTCCCGTTTTACGAAATCAGGAAACACACAAGCTAACTGTTTATGAAGTTCGTGAGGACTCGCTAACAGTCCGTGAATTTGCGAGAGTGCAAGGATTTCCCGACGACTTCGTGTTCTATGGCTCCGGGGAGGATCAGTATGACCAAGTTACGTTGGCACAGCCACCACCAGTGGCCAGAGCGGCTGCAGAGTGCATCAAAACGGTCATTCTGCGATCTAAAGCAGTCAAGCTTGGCGATGACAACAGGACTGCGCGGCAGAACAAGCGACGTAGACAGGATGACGAGGAGTAGGGTGTGATCAGGCGGAGGAATCAGTCAATTTGCTTGTGTGATGAAGCAGGAGACGTGCCCATGAGTATCTGGGGTTTCGATGTTGCTTTCCGTTCGATTAGCTATTCAATGGTATTTCCTATTTAGAAAGCACCTCAGCCCGCAGTTTAATATCCTCGAAACGACATCCGACGGCACAGCGCAGCTTGTGGGGACTCGGTTCTCCGGGGCTCGGTAGCGGATCCGAACCGAACCGAATGAACCGGGGTTCCCACACCGAATTCTCGTCAATCATTGAGTCGACGCGATAATGGGCAGTTTTCCCTCCACGAGTTCGAACGCGTCGTGAAAGATTTTCTCCAGCAGTCTCCTAATTTCGATCTCGAGTGAAGACTGTCGTTCTCGTTCTTTCGCTCTCACCTTTACCTCTCGGTAGCGATGGAGAACACGACCGCTCCACCCGTGGATCAACTCGACGAAAAGCACCAACGATCCGAGTCGCCGTCACAGACCGCCATTGAAAATGACGAGGGGCCTCTTCCACCCCTGGCACCCGCTACGACAACGGCATCCTACGTCCCCCCGCCGCTGCCACCATGGCGCCGCAAGGCAATAATGCTCGCCCTTTGCCTAACTCTTCTCCTCTCGGCTCTTGACATCACGATCATCGCCACTGCCCTTCCGACAATCGCATCGACGCTGCACGCCTCGGCCGCCCAGTATGCCTGGGTGGGTAGCTCCTACACGCTTTCCAGCACAGCATCTACGCCAGTATGGGCCAAGATGTCAGACATTTTCGGGCGGAAGGGGACCATCATGGCTGCGGCGGCGACGTTCATGGCAGGAAGTCTCGTTGCGGCGCTGGCTGGCTCGATCTCTGTCTTGATTGCCGGAAGGACGATTCAAGGACTGGGAGGTGGAGGCTCGTTGGTGCTTGTCACGATTGTGATTGGAGATCTGTTCAAGTTGGAGGAAAGGGCGAAGTATTATGGGATGACGGGCATCGTTTATGGCATCGCGAGTGCCGTCGGGCCAGTGCTCGGCGGAGTGTTTACCCAGACTATTGGTTGGAGATGGTGTTGTGAGTGTTTCCTGATTTCATCTGCTTTCTCGGGGCATGTTGCTAACCCAGTACAGTCTACATCAATCTCCCCTTCGACGGAATCGCCCTCATAGTCCTCTTCTTCGTCCTCAAAGTCGAAACTCCGAAAGAACCTTTCATGACCGGCCTACGCGAACTCGACTGGACTGGCTTCGCCCTCATTATCGGTGGAACGATTTGCTTTTTATACGGCCTCGAGACAGGCGCGGGCGGGCTGCTGCCATGGGACTCGGCGCAGGTAATTTGCCTTATCCTCTTCGGCGTCGTGATTCTCGCCCTCTTCATGGTCTGGGAAGCCCGCTTTGCCTCGAGCCCAATCATCCCGTTCCGCATCTTCCAAAAGATCACCAATGTCGCGGCTTTTACATTCTCATGCATACACAGCTTCGTTTTCATCTCCTACGACTACTTCCTCCCGCTGTACTTCCAGGTCGTCCTGGGTTTCCCCCCAATTATTGCTGGTATCTCGCTCTTTCCGCTCCTGATCCCGCTCACCGTCATGACGATGCTGGGCGGCCTGTTCACGCGAAAAACGGGCAACTACGTCGTCCCCATCTTCCTCGGCGCCACGCTCATGACGCTCGGAAATGGGCTCTTCATCACCTTCGGCACGACCCCGGACTGGGCCAAGATTGTCTGCTTCCAGATCATCACCGGCATTGGCGCGGGTGTGCTCTTCCAGAGCCCGATGATCGCTATCCAGACGCACACCCACCAGAAGGATATGGCAGCCGCCATGTCTTCTTTCACGTTCTTCAGGTCGCTCTTCTCGTCCATGTCGGTGGTCATTGGGACGGTGCTGCTGCAACGGAACCTGGGAGGAGGAGGGTTGACGGCGCTTCACTCGGATGAAACATCTTTGCAGACGGAAGGCACAGGGAAGGAAGATTATATCGCTGCTTTGCATATCATGTGGGCTTTCTTTACTGGTGTTGCTGGGTGCATGATCGTTGCTGCTTGTTTTATCAAGCCGAAGCCGAAGAAGCCGTCCGTGGCGTCGGCGCCATAGTCTCGAATTTCCGCGTATTACATGTATAGACCTAGAAACACGCAAAAAATCAGCTGTCCACAAGCATTTCTATTTGCTCTATTTACCTTGAAGCCTTAAACACCTGTGTATTAGCGTTTCCAGCCCGAACCATGCATGGGTGTACAGGGTCGCCGAAGATCGGGCATGTGATTTAAAGAACGCCTATTCTTCAAACCCACGACCCGCCCAATCACAGGTTGTCAACTACTGAAAGGAAATTCTATGAGCCTCAAAGTCCTCTAAATATAGCAAAAAACAGTTTTCATATTGCACTTGTTTTCATGAACGGCTCAGCTAACCAAAACCTTCGTGTGTCAGTTGCCATCGCCGAATAACAGCGTCCACCTTTCGTGTCTTCGAATTCCAAAGTGAAAGTGGTCACAATAAGCATTGGATCAACGATAAAACTGGAAGCAGAGTTAGGGTAGGTATTTCGGCTTCCTGATTCATGATTGTGTGACGACATTGGAGTTTTCTGTCGCACCAAACAAGCTGGGTTCTTGAATCTTCCAAACCCCTTGTCGGACTATGCGCCTTTCTCACCCCTAGGTAAGTGTATATTCAATCTCAAACTCCAATGAATTCTCATCAGCAACAGTACAACCGCCTCACCTTAACGCGTGAGGGAAAGGGCTGCAGCGGAAACACGAAAGTTCGATATCAGTCTTTCCGTGTACCTTCCTTCAGCCACCATCCTTTTCTCGGTCAACGCTGGACCTCCCCTTTCACACCTTGCAACAAGACCCCGTTCCTTGAAAAGCGGCATCCAATTCAATAGGGACCTTAGTGGGTCACGGTGTTTGCTGACCATGTTTGTTACAGTTTGCTCTCGTCGGTTAACCGCAGCGTCAAACTGGCCCACTTTTCCTCTCACCTCAAGTTTAGCATAGGTCCTCCTCGCCAACCTCTCAAAGACAAATAAATGTTCAGACCCAGAACAGCTTTTCGATTTCACAACGAGTGCCATTTTGCGCGGCGCGCCTTCCAAAACGCCGTGCAGAAGTCTTGTTCAGGAGCGCCCAGAATATGTCATCTCCCTACGAATCCGTTTCCGATGACAGTCAACAACCCACAACCGATCCGATGTCATCCTCACCAGATCCATACGAGGCCTCCTCCGATGAGGAGGATGACCACCGAAGTCCTCAGATGGCAGGCACGCACTCACTGGGGCTGAACAAGAATTATGTCTTGTCTTGGAGACGACTGCACGCGTTTCGCGAGTTCATCCAAAATTGGTCAGAGATTCTGATGTACTTGCCTGCTCGACGCGAATGCTGATATCCACATAGGAAGGACGGTATCATCGCGGCGTTTGACATGGATCCCCGATCTTTCTTGCCGGTCTGGGACGAAACAATGCCTGGAGTAATCCGCATCACAGTGCACCGCAACATCGAAGGTCAACGAGAGCTCGTCGGCTTCATCGTTCATAAAGCCAAGACAGGCACAGTCGAGATAGCCAACTTCAACGCCAACCTTTCTATGGATGATTTGAGTATCGGCGGCTCAACGAAGAGGAACAATGATAAGTTCGCTGGCGTTCATGGTGAAGGATTCAAGGTTGCAGCCCTCGTCATGGTCAGATCTGGGATCCCAGTGCGCATCCAATCCACATCTGCAAATTGGAATTTCGGATTCAACGGAGTCACCAAAGATCGATTCTATTGCAAGATTTCCAAGCCTCATACAAAGCATGTTGATTGTGAGACGGCCTCGCTTTCACAGCAGACAATGGGAGGAACGCTGCGATCCGATCTGGTGTCGTACTCTTCCATGGACGTGACGATTCAGCTCTCCCATCCAGCAACGGGTAGAGGCTACCGCAAGCCCATCACTGCAGAAGAGTTCCGCGGCTGGACGACTGTGTCGCTTGAGTTGAGAAACCCCGATCCCGACAAAATGATCCGAACGCAGCACGGGGACCTAGTCCTCGATGAGAGGTTTGCAGGACAAATCTACTTGAAGGGGTTCAAAGTGAGCGCCCCTACTCTTGGCAGCAAATCTTACAGATTCTGCTACAACTTTGCGACTGGAAAGCTTGGTCGTGACCGGGAGAGAATGACGTCTCACGAGAAAGAGGCGGAAACGCTGGCCAATATCTGGGAGACAGCGGTGGCAGGCGACCATGGCAACCTCGTGCAGCGTTACGTCGAGCTTTTCAGTGAAGACTGTGTTGACATCATCTCTGCTGAGAAGGCGTCCAGAATCTTGGCCCGACGCATCTGGGCCTGGCTGAGAACTAGTCAACCAGGCACATTTTATTTTTCGGAAGGCTCCGATTCTAAGCATGAAGGTGGTCATCAGGTGAGAAGGTCATGGTACCAGAGCGAAATGAAGACAGATTGCTGATGAATGATTTATCATAGGTTGACATTATTCTGAACGATATCAAGAAGCAGCCTCGAAAGCTGGCCAAAGAGCTGTGGCGACTTCTTGTAAAGTACGACTGCGCCCGAACCCCCCAGCAGGAACGAATCAGTCTGTTCTCGTCATTCCAGCCTGTTGAGAATGTGTTTGGCTACTTCGGTCTTAACATCTCACGTATACTGAAGTCAGTTCTGGCAATGGATACAGCACTTTCTGGAATTCGGCTCCAATTCGTACAAGGTGCTGACACCACCATCGACCTTCACTTTGACCCGAAGAGTGGGGTGCTTCAGATCAATCATAGATGGCTCAATTTTGAAGCCGTTCATGTCGAAACTCCATGCGAGTTCTTTGAGATCGCGAAGCATGATGACGTTGACGATATTTTCTACTGCGACCATGTGGTAGAAGATTTGCTTGAGCTTGCCATGAACCATGTACGGGACTATGTCGACATTTCTCCTTCTAAAGCCATCGAGCTACGACACCAGGCTCGGGAGTACATTCGGCAGACCCCCAGAGGCGTCCAAGTTTCAACGACTTCCAAGGCTGGCGAGCTTCAAGTCCACTGGGTCCGAAACAACTATGAGATGGTGTCCAGGAAATACCTCGAGAAGAAGGTCTGCAACGTCAAACTCCATAGTCTCAGCACTTGTGAGACAAGACGTCAAGACCTCATAAAAAAACACTGGTATGTTGCACACTATTCTTGCCTCTACAGCTAATTATAAATCGCACATAGAACACCTGTCTAGTCCCAGGTGCGAATGCCCTTCGACGACAGTCCCACTGTCGCAAAGCTGCGTCCTCTTTGCAAATCTCGACCCAAATGAGGACTACTTTCCGGTGGTTTGGCGTGAAGGAGAGACTGCGTTCACTGCGTTTCCTCCTCAATGCGTATGCCCCCTGGATAGATCCGAGCCTATTACGCCTCCAAGCGGTCGCTCTCATTCCGTGAGCGTGGAGACGGAGTCTGACATTGATATATTGATGAAAACGGACTCTGCATACGACAACGAATCGTCAGAGATAGACATTTACTCAGAACGAGACGTTTACTCAGAGGGAGACATTTACCCGGGGCAAGATATTTACTCGGAGCCAGACATTTACTCAGCTACACCACAGGCTCGTGACGACCCGCCGGTGGAAGAGGGCCTTGATAGAGGAATGGAAGCTCGTGAAGAGGCCATCTCTGAACATATCTGGCAGAATGAGGAGTTTCCTCAGCTTCGTTCAATTGTTCTCACTCCACGAACATTGTGCCGCTGCGAGGTGAGTACAAGCAGAGGAAACACATTTGGCCTAGGGAAATGACAAGGATATGTTTCTTGAATCTAGCCTTTACGACAGTCGTCTTGACATTGAGTTCGAAAAAGACCGATACTATGAAATCCGAGACAGTTCTCAGTGTTATCCCGATTACATCGCTTGGGTCCACGACGTTCACGACGAGAGCGCTGGATGTGTCCAAGAACATCATTTGAGCGTCACCAGGTTCTCGATTCTTCGGCAAGAGCACCTGTTCCGGGGCGGAAGGAAACTGGATGAGAGCGCCGAGATTGGCGATTTGATGCTGCACTTCTCGTCCGTACAAAATATGGGAGAACAGAGCGACGCCGAGGTTATCATGATCAAGGACATCACATTTGCCAAGGCCCTCAGCACGAGCTTCAGAGTCAGGTATCGCCCTGTTTGTCACACACATTCATGCGTCCCAGCCAACGTGGACGGATCCTCGATGACAGATGAAGACGCCAAGAAGGAGTTGTCTTGCCGCTTTGCTAGGTCAGTGATCGATGAAACCGTCACGATCACACCCATCATCCCGAAGCGCCTAGCCCGTGAGGAACGGCCAGAGCGAAAGGGATTCTCAAGCTCATCCCCAGTCAGTGTCTTCGATTTCACCCCGAACGTTCTTGGCCCATTGGAAGGCTTTGCCGAGGCGGGATTCAATTCATTCGCAGCTGTTGGGTTTGATCCAGAGCACAGCATCAGTTGGAAAGTGCGTACAAATTAATTTCTATATGTGGAAAAGGCCCGCCTAACTTGTCAATCTAGGTGCGCTATCCAAATTGCCCCGTTTTTGATGGTTCTCCTCAGCAGCTCTTCAATGACTTGAGCTCTGGAACTCTGGATACCCCCCACTTGCTGACAGGAGACCCGATCAAAGTTTCCTTAGTGGCAGGACGGAACACTGACCGATGCTCAAAGCCCAGGATTGAACCCGAGCTCAAGGAGAGCTTTGTCGATCGACTTGACATCATGGACTCCATCACGAAATCAAACTTTGATCCGGACTTTCAAGTGCTTCAGATGCCACCTGGGGTATTTCACCCCAATGTTTTTGAACGGTTCTCGTCCACAATCTTTCAACTTCTCGAAAAGGGTGAGACCGTATGTGTCAACATCTCATCACTGCAAAGTTTCGGCTGCGTCCGTCAGCGGTACCTGGTGAATACCGTTGCCTCGCGGTTTCCTGGCTTGGCCGGCGTACCCATCAAGCTCGCAGCCCATCGAACTGAGGATGACGAGTTCACGCACATAACCGATCTCATCAAAGACCTGAGCTTCCTCAACCCGAGGCAGACGGAATCTTCAGAGGAGGTGAGAGGCCAGTTCATATGCTTCCCATCTGGGGAATGGGGGGGCAGCAACGTGTCACCAAGTTACGTCTACAACCACAACACCAACATCAGGCGTTCGGAGATCGAAAGCCTTCGTATATCTCCGTCCTTCAATCTCAGCCACTTATCCCCTGAAGATGCAGGCGATTCTCAACGTCAGAGCTGCTTGACCGTTCTCGAGATCGCGAAAATCCAGCATTTCAAAGACGACTTTGTGTTCTACGGTTCGCCTCTCAAGCAGTTGAGGATGTTATAGCGGCCCAGCCTCCACCGGTGGCAAGAGCGATTGCAAACTGCATTGCAAAGTGCATCAAGTCCGTTGTTAAGAGATCCGGGGGGAGGGGTTACGGAAACAAGTCCGATGATAATGAGATCGGAGAAAGGTCCGAAGGGCAAAGGCCGAGCAAAAGACGCAGAGAAGATTAACGATTGATTGGGCTGGTGAATTCACAGGTAGATATCCACAGTGTAAAGTCAGAGGCAAATAAGATTAGGAAGCCCCATAAATAGAAGGTCTTCAGCGTGAGCTGTAATAGTAGCATTTAGAATTCACAAAAGTCAAACTACGAACAGAGTTGATGTCTTTCATTACTGCGCTAATACACTGATGCGTCTCCATGACTGCATCCTAATTTCTAATTGGGTATCTTGTTGTCATTCAATCATTCATCAGTAAGTGTTCGTTCGTCTCCTAACAAGTCCACCGTCTGCTTAAGCATGAAGAAAATTCTGACGCGTGTCTGAAACGCTTCGCAGGAAACTGGCCAACTGTCTACACAACTGTTAGCGGCTTGACCTTAAGCTCATAAAACGCATTACACTCGCTGACCTCGCCAAGACAAATGCAGTCTATGGATCATCTGACACTGCTCGCATGTATTGCGTGATACCCGAAGTTGCTCCAAAGGACGCATAGTAATTGACCATGTCTTTGTGTCATTCGTGGGGTCGCTCAACTGCTGTTGTAGTCGCCGCATCCGTCACTAGGCTCGTATTCAATGTTGATGATTTCGGTTGATTTGCGACGGCGAGGTCTTCCAGCCCATGACAGTTATTGCAGGAAGACATCCTGGTGAAGGCAAGTAGCTTGTTGAGAACGGCAAATTCCACTTTCAGCTTGATGCTGTATACCAGCGGTTTGCTTGTGGTTTGGAATACGAAAAAGTCCATGTATTCCAGCACACAGAGTGCGGTATCGAGGAGAAAAACGAGGACAAACATGGCGATAAGATAGCCGAGCAGGACTTTCGCTTCTCTCCCCTTGAATTCGAACAATGATTTGAAGTTGTGGAAGCCCATTCGCACGAAAATCGCGGTGATGATGGTCTCTTGTACGGTGAAGACCATGAGCGACACTTTTTCGAAGACGCTGAATCGCTTTGTCCACGCTGGTGTATCTATCCCTGACCAAACCAGCGAAAACAGGACGGTTTGCGGTATGTGTACCAAGAAAACCGTCGTGATAATCATTGCTAGGACCAGCTTTATCGTCAATCGGTTGTAGACCACCAAATGCAGCCGCGACCACATCACGACTGACTGCCCTGTAACCATCATGTACCACCCAATATGCGCAAATGACCCTGGTATCGGCGTCTTGTGTGGTTGGAGGAATCGGCCCAGGCCCCCACACGCGTGGAACAGAATCCCCGTGTTGGCGACCAGCATGCTCCAAAAATACCGGCCGCGTCGTCGTCGGAACGTCGTAAAGATGAGGACGTAAATCTCAATCGCGTTGTACATGCCCGCGGTCGCCAAGGCCGTGATGGCGATGCGGTCGGCCTCTGAAAGCTTGTCTCCGATGGCTCCCTGAACCTGCGCCATGATTCGAAGGTCGCGTGGCGATGGGGCATTCCCAATCGTACGGGACGGCGCGCGACGGCCGTTGTGGATCCTTTCTCTCGAACTTCCGTGGGGTGCGTCGGCCCCGTCTGTTCGTATCTTCGTTTTGTTTCGACGTTCGCGATCGAAAGGGAGTCGATTATCTGCCCCAGACGAACAATAATCTCCGAAACTGGGACGGCGGGGCCAAAGAGAAATACATTTAAGAACGAGGTCGGACCGTACTGACGGGCACGCGGGTTTCAGCTGCCATGCGTGCTTCCCACGTTGGAAGTTGTTCCCTTCCGAACACTGCATAAGGTTTTGGGTCAACGAGTCATTCGAATATCCTATGGCCTGTATCAATTAGGCCAACGGTCCGTCTCGGGATCGCTTTGTGATCCTTCGGACGGATCTAGGAGCGCCATGGTGCCTGTGCTAATGAGGGGATTAAGGGCGCAGTGTCTGAGCGGCGTAGATCTTGCATGTTTCCATCGAGGAATTGCCCTGCTCGGCAAGTTCCTGCCTTTTCGTCACAGATTTTATTGACACATTGCATTCATCGCGAGGTCTTCGCTTGCTACGCAGGGACACTTTATAAAAGACATTGCTCTCTTTCGGCCGAGATGAAAGCCCCACGGGCTTTGTTCGGCTTCGCTATTGGGACTTCTGCCAGCCACACCATCTTCCACCGGGTGTGGGTTGATGAAACTTGTCAATCACGGGACGGTGAGATCTGCCCAACGGACCAAGGTTTCCGACCATCCATTTCCCATTCGATGAGGTGCGCCAAGGACTTGGTAAAGGCTATTTAGAAGCTTTAAGCTCTTCGGGTCCCCAAAGGGCTTTCCCCTCCGGATGCTATCAAAGCGGAGTCAAAGTTCAATCTTGGAGAAGCCGGCTGCTCAGCTTCCTTGTAGCGAGGTTGTCTGCTGTGCTCGAAGTGGTGTCTTCTGTTTAATATCATAGCATGACTGATGCGTCTCATTCCACGTCTACGTCCCTGTTTCCGTTTTTCAAGCCTTTGGGTTTATAGATCGTTTTCTAGCTTCTGGAATCTAGCTTTTGGAATCTTGGTAGGTAGCTGAGAACCGGTTGGTTTCCATAGAAGAGGTTGCTTATAGACGCTCGGTCAAGAAGATGACCAGCTTGCCTTCTTCGCAATTAGTGATGTTGGTCGGATCAGTGTGCAGTCTCCCGCTGCGATGGTCTCATGGAAGGATAGAGCACAGTTTTTTAACTAGTGAGAGGTGCTCTAAGGAAATATCCATCGATTGGCGGATTAGTTCGAAGGTTGGAATCAAATGATAAGTGATGTTGCGGCACGAGGAAATTGGTTGATAAGAAGTCAAGCAAGTCAAAGTAGGTTTTCACGCAGGGAAAGTCTTCACTGGTTTCTTGGAATCGAAGTTACCAAATGCAGGTTTAACCAAAGTCTGACGCAGCTTTTCGTCCCAGAATTTAGTACTTGATGCTGCAGTAGCAAATGTCCCAGATGTGAATTAATCCCTATGCAAAAATTCGATGATATACCTGTCTTCTGCTCATTCTTCTTGTAGTATTGTTTCTGCTTGTGATTTATCCTGTGTACTGAACACATGTTCTATAATCTCACAGGGTTAGTAGCCTGAGCCGTTGGCAGAGGCTGTGACTCCTCTGTTGGTGAAGCCTCCTCCTCAACACAGCTTTGCTGATCGGAAAGCCCGCCGTAGAAGCTTTCTTGGTATGCAGCGTCTAACTGGCGTTGGAAGTTGGCGTCGACGAACGGCACCTCAGTCTTTTCGTACTTCACGTCAGATAGCGCTTAAAGAGCATTATCGGGAAGGGATTTCCACCCAATGACGTCCCTCCCATAAACCTTGTCCCCATCGGCGCCGGTGAAAGGTGCCATGGCATTGTCGTGAATTTGGATCTGAGGACGGGTGGGCATATCAACGCCAACGCCAGAAGACTTGAAAGTGATATCGCCAGCTTTTGCAACGCCCCATTTCAAGTGGTCGGTCGTGAATGAGACTCCAACTGGCCAGGCCGAGGTTGCATCGTCAACATCGCATCCCCAGCGGTTGATCCAAACAACAATACTAGCCCAATAGTGTTTGTGGCCGTTGTCGTCCCCTTTCGCCCACCGAACTTTAGGAAAGTAGTAGCTGTACATTATGCCCACTCGGTTCTGGCTGACACCGCGGCGGGCGTACACTTGACCGCCTTTGCCATCGCCACAGCCGTCTCTTCCACCTCCGGTCGGTCTTAAGCCAGCGCTTTTCTCCTAGATTAGCTTCTGGTAAAGCATATGGCATAGTGGTAATGCGGTGCTTACCCAAGATTTCCGCTGCTATCTACAGCTGCGTAAGGGTCGCAACCTCCCGAGACATAGAGATTGGGGTTGAAGCGAAGTTCGAGCTGGCCATCGAATCCCGGCGACGCGTTTTGTGTGAAAGGCACAACCTTGTCGTGGTCGATCCAGTTGTGACTACCGGCATCGTCGCCAGCACGTGGTAATACAGACGATGTCACGCACCTGAGAAGGAGGAGACATCCAAGAAGCGGTTGACAGTTTCGGAACATCATTGTGTTGTCAGAAGTAGTCAAACTGAGGTTGAAGAGAGGTCTGATCTTGCCAGGCTTGGATTGAGTTACGGTCTACTTATGTCTCAAAGAGTAGTTCTCGTCGACGGCTATGCCCAGGAGGTGTGATGCTGTCGCCAAGCGTAGTGAAATTGCCAGCCTCGCTGCACAGTCGTGACTTATTATTGATAACTATTCGGGTAAAAGCAATAGGGTTCGAAGTTCTGTGATTGCGATCCAGTCTCGCTACAACTTGCGTTGATTTCATCGTGTCATCAGAATTATTTATCCCGCAGCTGTTCGCAGTCTCAACACGTTCCGGTTGGGCTTTCAACACCTCTTTGACTCGTCTCAATTTCCATGAGACTTACATGAATCTATTTTGAGTTGTTGGTATCTCTAGATGTTCATCCCATTCATTGCATCTGTTTTCTTTTTTCTGTGTTGTGGCTAGGTCATTGACTCAGATCCCTGACTTCTATTAACACAGACTGCACCCCCAATAGATCCCATCCGCTCCCCATGTCCCACGCATAAGCCACACCCGGAGAGGAAAAGGAACACTCCGGAGGCCGATGCCGAAGAGCATGCCAAGGTAAAGACATTGATCAGTAAGCGATTGCGTTGTAGTGGCTGACTCGCAGTTGATGCTCGTCATGTACATAATTAGGTGTGCTGATATTGTTGTGTTTCGCGCTAGGCTGGAAGTCCTCGATTGCGTGCTTCTTCTACTCCCTCCGACCCGGTACCCACCTTTTGCGTCGCGCACCTTTCTATAGCAGACACAGGTAGGGGATGCACTTTTTCTTGAAGAAACTAGCGATGAGAGGTAGACAAGGGAGACCTCCACCATCCTTCTTCCCTTCTGACTTTTCTTTCGCAGTTTGCCGCCTGGAGGCGCACCTTTTTGACTGCCGTATGACTCTGACATGGAAATAAAAAATAAAAAATAAAAGAGGGACATCCACTATGGATATCAGCTGTAGGTATCATGGAACGACGATGGAACATTGGTAAAGCTACGTTCAGAGTGCTTACACCCTCTTTGCAACACAACGTAATTGTCTGATTGATAACGGCGGTTCATTCAATTGCATCGCCGCTTGATAATCTCTCTGGGGCTTTCAAAATCCCCATTTACCATATATGCTTCCCCTGCGTGATTGCATCAGGTTTGGGGGCATCTAGGTTCATGTTGATGCGGACCAACAGCGTGCCATGTTGTCTGTGCGGGACAATTAATCTGATTGAATCTAAATCGGCGAGACGGGAGTGTCCGGCCGAGCGCGCCGGGCAATCTTATGCTCCGAACGCTCCGGGCAATAGGCAGGACTACTCGGAACTTATCACAACAATTCAATTCATTGGCAAAAAGAGTTGAAACATGGCAATCTCCGGAAAGGATAACCTGGTGGGACACGTTATTGAATTCATTAAATATGCTTCTACCAGCGACTTATGACCACACACTATCCCACTTTTATTATGCATATGCTCGGACCTGCTCATGACACCAGAGCGAGTCAGCTATCAAGTAAATCTCGCCATCCGGGAGGCTCACTATGGTTCTTTTTCCTTTATTTTTCGGCACCGCCTCTTAACTAAGGTTCACGTCCTAACTCGAATGATCTATCTATTAGAGGAGGCTGACAAAATGCTCGGCGAAATTGGTCATTGGAAAGGGAGATCTAGATAATTCACCCAGGAGCGGCATGTTTCATAATCTTGCAAGATGGCTCAGGAGCTTTGGGGGCTGAAGATAATAGATTGGCTGGGCGTTCTAATTTTAACCGAGTCGTCAATGACCATTGTGAAGTAAAGGTCTTTAAATACAGCAGCTGGAGGCAGTCCTGCAGGTGTCTTTCATCGATAGACTCGTCCGTATAACCTAGCCACCTACCTGTGCTTTGTATCCATTTCTATTTAGTCACAATGCGTCTCAGCTTTGTTCCCAGCCTGTGGCTCACAATTGGCTTGTTCTTGGGATCTACTTTTGGCGCAGTGAGTTAAGCGCCCTCGTCCCGCGTCTCATCTTCTCATATGGCACTTATGATGCAGTCTTGATCGCTTACCGACCTCGCGATTCTCTAGATTCTCGTAAGTCAGAGACCCTGATCCTCGAGTTTTTCCGATTCTAACCAAATGCTTCCTACCATAGGGAAATGCGGCGTACACCATACAGGACTGTAACGGGCTAGAGCCCGGCCGAGATCTCCGGCTTTGCCGGAGCAGCTACCGAGATCCGGCTCCGCCGGATCCACTATTCTGCTGTAGCACACCGCCTAGCCCCGGTCTGCATCACTGCTGCTAGGCGCCTATCCCTGTAAAGTCCTTTCCTCCTTCTTCAGCTTAGAATAGTCAATCGACGGCACCTCTACGTTGAACAAGCCTAGGGGCCAGCCCCTTACATTATATATTTTATAATTCAATAGAATATTTTAGTATAATAAATAGTACTCTCTGTATTTAAAATACTTCAATTTATATTTAGTATATTTCACTTTAAAATATTAAGTTTATAAATAGTATAATTAGAAAATAATAACTATAATATTATATTAAATTAATTAATATTATTTAAAGTATAGCTTAAGTAATATAATATATAATCTATATTACTTTAATAGCTTAATTTAACACTAGTAGAACTTTATATATAAGAGTAATAAACGTAAACTACTTATTTAGAATTATAATACAAATAGAAGTATTTATTTATATTTAAATATAACTACTAGTTATTTAAATAGTAATAATAAGTATTATTATTATATTAATAAGAGTATAAACCTTAAATATTATTAAATATTATTGAAGATTTAAAGATAATATAACTAAATAGGTATTAAAGATCATAAATAGTAATATTACTATTAAAAAACTATTAATTTTAATACTTAAAATAATTAAACCTTTAGTTAATAAGAAGAGAATAATAGAAAGAACTACATTAAAATTAGAATAGTATTAAGTATGATATTAAATAGTTAAATAATTTAAAATAATATTTTTTAAATATTATTAGCTAAAAGTAGATTTTATTTTGTAAATTAAATTAATATATTACTACCTTATATATTACATAGATAATATTAATATCTATAGCTATATTATTAACTTCTTTTATTAGTTTTATTACTTATTTTTATAAAGCTTTTTATAGAAGTTTTAATATTATGATTAATAAAAGCTAATTTTCTCTAGCTATATTTTACTTTAAAATATTGATTCTATTACTATTACTAGTTATCTTTAGAAATAGATTTATTTTAAACTTCAATTTATAATGTTTTAAATAGTTATTAAAACATATTATTGAATACTAAAAAACAAAATATAGTTTTTTACTAATGATTAATAAATATTAAGGATAAAATAGTTAATATTGAAAAAATTAGATATAAAATAATTTAGAAACTTTTAAAATTTATGGAGTTTTATATTTATAATTAAAACTGAAATTAAATGGTTTGTCAATAATATAGAGGTTATAAAGTAGTTTATTACTTTTGTATTTAAGTTTAGTAAGTTAAATATAGTTTTATAAAAAGATTTAACTAAGATATTTATATATAAACCTTTAACATAAACTAAAAAGTAGTTTATTTTATAAAGACAAAAACTAAATATCTAAAAGTAATAAATTAGAGGAGTAAAGATTTTAATAATAAATTAGTAATATATGATTTAAATTTGTTTTATTTATTTACTTATTATTTTTAATAACTAGATTTACATAAAATATATTTTATTAGCTAATATATATATAGAAGTAGAGAGATATAAAGAGTAATATACTTTTAACATTAATTAAAAACATTAAATAAATTATTATAAAAAGTAGTTATTTAGGCTTAATATTATTATTAAATTAACCTTGAAGTCTTTTTAACTAATAATATTAATATCCATTTTAAAGAATTATATTACGACTTTTAGTATATTTGTATATTATTTAAAGTTATATAAAATGTATACTAAATAGATATATAAAGTTATGCTATAAGTCTTTTTTTAATTTTTTGATATATACTATTTTAATTTCTTATGATAATAATATAAAATAAAACAACTGATTAAATTAATCATATTCCTATAAGTGAAATAATTGTTATAAAACTATTAAATTGATATTATTATTCTTATTTAATATTTCTCTTAATGTATTAACCAAATATAAGTAAATTATAGATATACATTATTTGCTAATAAACTATTAATAAATAAGCTATATAAAAATAAACTTTTAAACTAAATATTATTAATAAACTAAGCTATTAAGGGATTTATTTTTATTATTAACTACCAAACCTTATTAATTAAAGCTAAATAATAGAAATAATTACTATATAATATAAATTTATAACGTTTAATACGTTTTTATATATTATAAACTAATAGCTCTTTATAATATATAAATACATAAATTATATATAGTTATTTACTACTTTTAATTATAATTATTAGTTTTTCTTTTAGTTTTTATAATTATAAGCTTTCTTTTTAGCTATAGTTATACTATTAAGTTAAATATACTTAAAAATATACTAGCTATAGTTTTTATAATAAATATTATTGATAAATATATAAATATTAATATACTTTATTACTATATAATTGTTACGGTCAGCTATCCGACAGTAGGGTCTGCTAACAGAAGCTGGGGATTGATACGTTCTAACAGTACACTGGGTCGTGGTCGTAGGTTGTAGGTCGTAGGCTGTAGTAGATTGGTTCTTCAGAGGCCAAGGTGATCAGTCTTAGACTCAATAAGTGATTCGCAGTGAAGGTAAGCTGAGAGTATCCGTGAGGATGAATACTAAGTTGATTGCTAAAGAGCTATAGAAGTTTGACCATGAGCTAGGCTCAGGGTCATACTATATATAAGTCTAATTCTGAACATGTTCCTTTGTGCCTCGGGTCGATCTGGATCATTCCGATCCAGAATGATCGTTTGGCCCCTAAGTCGTGTTGGATCATATTGATCCAATATGATCGTTATC